AAGTTGTTTAATCATAATGCCCTGATATGTAAGTACTTTTGAATCATAAGTAGTTACTGCTGCTATAACACAACTTTAATTGCAAGCACAACCTTCACTCCTATATGAAAATGTTTTTATCATGTTCTGCCATTTTTATTCTCCCATAATTTTGGAAGTCAATACTTGAGACTTCCCACCCAATTCTATAGAACATGATTACAAGTCATGAAAAGTCATTTTTACATGTAGATATTTATTAAGCTTCGTTTCATTTGACACAGACTGGAGTAAATAGCATAAAGCCAGGGTCGGCAACCTACGGCCCGCGGGACGGATCCGACTCGCGAAGGCATTTTGACCGACCCGCGAGCCTGATTACCAATGACTATTTTTAACATGAGAGACGACCTTCAAATGAAATTTGTTATATGTCATTTTCCATAGAATGTCTACACATCTCAGTCCAGTTATCTTTCATGAGACTTATTTTACCAAGTTGCGTTGCTTACGTTTAATGTCAAATAATGGATCCATATTTGTTATGACCCTTGGCTACATTAAAAGGTAACAGAAGCGAAAGGAACGATAAAGTGAAAGAGGCCAGGGAGGAACTGACATGTGAGGTAGCAGAAATCTAAAGAAAACATACGCGCATTATACATACATGCCTCATGAATGTGTGGATGATACCGCATGTGTACGTACGTAAGTGTATATGTTTGCAACTATTTGTTCTCGTATGTATGGGTATATGTGCTTCGTTTTTGTTTGATGTGTGTGTGTGTGTGTGTGTGTGTGGTTCGTTTGTGTAACAATTTTCAATAACAGTTTCAAACCTACACGTCAGAATTTCATCCATTTCACTTCAGTTGATTTTTTCACTTTGAAGTATTTTGACGTTCCTTGAGGAAAAGTAATTTTTGTTAGGTGTTTTTTAATTTTAGATTTTCTTTTATTTTTCTGATTTCTCAATGTTTATTTTCATTATGGTTTTAAATATTTAGGTTGACAGGGGTCTGCATATGTAGTTTTCCTTAATTTTTCATTAATGGCCTTCGTCCGGCCCGCAACCCGTCATTATAACACGATCCGGCCCGCGGGGTCGAATGAGTTGCCGACCCCTGGCATAAAGGAAGAGGAGTAACCACTTTAAAAATCAGTTTACGAATAGTTTTTGTTCTGCGGACTAGAACATCAACCATTGATGCTAGTAGAAATTACTCTTTTCTTTCAAACAGGAAACAAATACACTATTTACATTATTGGGACTAGTGTCCTCATCTTTGTTGTCATATTTATCACAACGGTTTGGCCGTTGTACGCTCCAGCCTTCTTCAGGTGGTTGGAATGTCGAACTGAAAACTTTATTTCGCTCGCTGGGGTAGACTGTTCTAGTTCCACGTGCCATGTCTAATGGATGTTAGTTATCAGTTATCTCCTGTTAATCCCCCTCTCCAAATTCTGCACCGCCTTAACTAGGTATTGAACTCCCACTCTCTGGGTCCTGTCACTGGATCTAACTAACTCCTTTATCCACTGTTCCTTGAGGACATCTGTGTATGGATTTCTGGGTATTATAAACCTAATGTCTTCAGCCCTCATATTTTTACCAGTTCTCATATTGCAATTTTTTGCTGTTATCATTGCATGTTTTTTACATCAGAGCTCATATTGCAATTTTCGTTATTATTGTTTTTCTCTGGCACTCCTTATTACTGGTTCGCATATTGTATTCATTTTTATGCTTGGTCGGCCCATGAGATTTTTGTGGACTAGCATATGTGCTGATTCCTTAAGTTTATGAATTTTCCAATGATATTCTTTGTCTATGATTTCAACCTGATCCCACAGCGGTCGTTGATCTCCCTTTTCTCTCCATATGTGGTCAGCCACGCTTGATTTTTCCACTTTCCCTCGTGTTACAGCTTTCTGGTATTCTTGAAGCCTTACCTTAAGACAACGACCTGTCTCCCATTTATATTTCTTCATATATCCGAAACTCCGCCCACTTCATGCCCTCATCCTATCCAACCAGATGGTGGGTTTGGACGCGGTGGGTTTGTTCACCAAGGTACCCCCGGAGGAGGCACTCTCAGTAATCAGAGACAGATTGGCCTCCGACTCATCCCTAGAAGAACGGACCAGTATTCCAATAGATAATCTGATGGAGATGTTGATTTTCTGTACACAAACAACATACTTCGGAATGGGATCACACATATATCGACAGGATGAGGGCTTAGCAATTTGCTCGCCATTATCACAAGCAATGACGAATATATGCGTGGAATACTTTGAGGAAATGGCAATGGAATCCATATCTTTAAAACAAACTCTATGATTAAGGTACATAGATGACACCTTCATACTCTGGTCACACCAGGAAGATGTTCAGGTTCTACTGGACCATGTAAACTCAATAAGACCTTCGATAGAGTTCACGATGGAGAAAGAGAGTAACAACACACTCCCATTCCTGGATGTTCTAATATCTCGAACAGAGCATGGGTTCAAGACATCCGTATACCGTAAACTGACATTCAACAAACAGTACCTCAATTTCAACACCCACCATCCATACAGCGTAAAGAACGGGATCCCCCGCTGCTTACAACACCGAGCAAAAGTCATAAGTGGCGACCCAGAGACATAAGATAAAGAATTGGTCAGTATAAGTAGTACCCTACAACGTAACAACTACCCTGGGTACAGGGTAGCAGCCCCAATAAACTGGGATATAGCGAGTACAAGATGAGGACAACAACACTCAGAAAACAGTCTGCCTGCCTTATGTGAAGAGGTTATCAGAGAAAATATAAAGGATCTGCGGTCAGGACAACCTTCAAAAGCTTGACGACACTTCGCAGATATCTCTGCAGAGTAAGACCCCTCCCCGCACACACACACACACACACACACACACACACACACACATAGAGGAGAACATGACTAAAGATTGTGCGTACGCCATCACGTGTAGCCGCGGAAAGAAATAAAAGCGGAGACAGGCCGCCGCCTTAAGGTAAGGCTTCAAGAACACCCGAAAGCTGTAACACGAGGGAAAGTGAAAGAATCAGGCGTGGCTGACCACATATGGAGAGAAAAGGGAGATTACCGCCTGCCGTGGGATTAGGTTGAAATCATAGACAAAGAATATCATTGGAAAATTCATAAACTTAAGGAATCAGCACATATGCTAGTCCACAAAAATCTCATGGGCCGACCAAGCATAAAAATGAATACAATATGCGAACCAGTAATAAGGAGTGCCAGAGAAAAACAATAATAACGAAAATTGCAATATGAGCTCTGATGTAAAAAACATGCAATGATAACAGCAAAAAATTGCAATATGAGAACTGGTAAAAATATGAGGGCTGAAGACATTAGGTTTATAATACCCAGAAATCCATACACAGATGTCCTCAAGGAACAGTGGATAAAGGAGTTAGTTAGATCCAGTGACAGGACCCAGAGAGTGGGAGTTCAATACCTAGTTAAGGCGGTGCAGAATTTGGAGAGGGGGATTAACAGGAGATAACTGATAACTAACATCCATTAGACATGGCACGTGGAACTAGAACAGTCTACCCCAGCGAGCGAAATAAAGTTTTCAGTTCGACATTCCAACCACCTGAAGAAGGCTGGAGCATACAACGGCCGAAGCGTTGTGATAAATATGACAAAAAAGATGAGGACAATGGTGTAATAATAATGAATAATGTAAATAATGTACATAATACCTCATCTCAGAAATTTAGACAGATACTGAAGGAAACAAATACATTTCATATATTTTTATATTTGGATTTATTCAGACAACCTGTTTATAAGCCAACGTAATTGCAACATACTAACTTCGTCTTTGTTTATAGGGAACATTTTATAACATTTCAAAAATAACGAATTCTTGCGTGTTGTTGTATTACTCCATAAATGATCAGCCATCCTTGATGTCATTGTTCCACCACAGCTTTCGATGTTCCTCCAGCTTTATTTTCAGAGGGAGGTTAGTTTCACTTTTATATTCTTTGTCACAACTGCAAGAAATGGTGTACACACAGTTTTTGGTTATGTTCTCCTCTGTTACACAAACTTGCACTATGATGATACTAGTGTCACTTTCTTCCCCTTGTGATGTTTGATTTGGTTGGCTTGTCTTCATCTTGTCTTCTGCTTGAACTTTCGGTTTCTTCAACCTAACCTCCTCAACTGGGGCTATCATGTTTAAGTATGAGATACTCCTGATCGCTGTGCCGAAGCACTGATTCATCAGAGCACTCAATGAGGATTGCTGATATTAACAGCTGGTCTTACTGAACTGTAGTGTGCTTTGTTGTCGCACCTACCTTGTTCTTTTATGTCTGCAAGTTTCCGTATTTGGTAAGCATTAAATCTTTTTGAAATTTCTGATTTTATGATTTATCCAGATCTTGAGAACATTCTACCACGGTAGATTAAATAAATAGGTTAGTTCAAAATTTCCTAAAGGTTACCCAAATTGAAAGCACCTGATGACGGCCGGAGGGCACAATGGTTGAAATGTAATAACAGAAAAAAAAACTATGGGGACAATAGTCCGTATGCAAATAATGTTATGTACACATTTTTCAAAGAACAAAGAAAACTGGAGAGAGCAATATTGTATCTTAAAAGTCCTGCTCATGCTTTCAAACCTGAGTTTGATAAACAAATAACGGTCTGCTCATGATTAATGATAACATATGTGCTTATATATGTTTGTTTCCATAAGCGCCGACTGCCCAACCGGCTCAGCAGGGTCGATGGTTCAACTGGGAGGGTATTGACGGTGTTCAGATCAGTTGGTCTGATGGTGGCGTCTCAGCGCAGGACATTTGAGGTTCCTCATACAGGCAGCATCACCGCCTGCCGGTTGTGTGGTGCTTATGGAAACCTGCGCTACATACTGTCCTCCTGCCCGAAGGCGCTACAGAATGGCTGGTACACCTTCAGACATAACTTGGTTCTGGAGGTCGTGGCAGCAGCTGCGAGAAGTGCTAGCATACCCTCGACGGACCTGCGAAGGATTGCCTTCCTGAAGCAATGTGTGACTGACACGAGCAGAAGACCAGATCGGATTTCTCAAGGAAGTGGAGAGTGTTGGTTGATGCTACACTGCCAGTGGAGGTTGTTGTGTCTGGACTGAGGCCAGATCTAGTGTTAATTGATAGCGAGAAGCAACAACTGTTGCTTGGCGAGCTGACAATGGGATGGGAAAAAGGGATTGATGAGGCTAATGAAAAAAATCTGCTTCGATATGAGGAACTGGTGGCTGAAGTCCGTGAGAGAGGATACGGCTGCACCCCGGTGCCGTTTGATGTGGGCTGTAGAGGATTTCCTGCTGTTTCCTTAAAGAGATTCCTCAATTCCTCAAGTGTGCTGGTATTCAAAAGCCGAATAAGGTAATAAAGACTTGTGGTGAAAAAGTGGTGGAAGGCAGCGCATGGATTACCCAGAAATTCGTATCGAATCGCATCCAACCGGTTGCAATGTAACATCATCCAGTTGTTGCAGGCCCACTGTGTGGAGAGGTACTGAGCTTAATGGGCCGAAACTTTGCTGAAGCACGGCGCTCAGCTGAAGATTACAACTGGTCTGGAGAACATGTGTTCATTTTAATGTTTTAATCGCGTTGTAATTGATAACATCAACTAATTAAAAGGAAATGAATAGCAGAAATTATTATAGGAAAATGTTTATCATCAAACATCATCAATGTAACTGAAGAATTGAAATAGCCAATCTGGATGCAATCATTTAAGCACCAAAAAGTGAACGCAGTGATAACCTGAACATATATGAAGGGTATTTTTCAGTGCGCCCACATTGCTACCGAATGTGACATATGGTCTAGTTTTAATGGCAGTAAAATGGAAAATTGCTCAAGCACACCTAAACAAATATAATGATATAACAATTAAACATGATGTATATAATCTATCTTTGTTGCACTACATCCGTTAAGTTAAACGTTAAGCAAAATGAAAACCAGCCTCACATTTGGTACAGTATGAAGTCCGATTCATAAAAAATTTTGGAAATTCAGTGATATCAATTTGAGTCTGGAAGTGAATGAAAAACGTTTCTTCCAATCAAATATAAATTGATAATATTTAATATACAATCTCATTAAAAAATTAATAGTTTTCTCATAAATCTTTTTATCTTCCCTCTCTGATCAATCATGTAACATTTACCAATATATAAGAATTAGTTCTGACAAAAGTTAGAATTCGGCGTAGGCAAGATAGACATTAAGATAAAAATAAACCTAATTTGTTTAAAAAGGAATTTGCTATTGAAGAATTATATATATATATATATCGTGTAAGAAGTAGAAGTAAGCGTTCAGTTTCAGTTCAATATTATTTAACCACATATCCTCAAATTTGTCGACTAATAAAAAAGCTTTAATACTTCAAAACATTTCTTTTTTTTCCGTCTGGCAACAGCTTCACATTCGTTTATCGCGCAGTGTTTGCTGATCAGCTAAGGTTAACATGTTTCATGGGCTCATAATACTTGATACAAGCTTTTCAAGATCTGTGCCTTCATCGGTTCATGCCTCTAACACAGTTGATTCATTAATATTTATAGGCCTCTATGATTAAAAAAACAGAGAAGAGAGTAGGGTACTGATGTGTTAGCCACGTTTTTTATTAATTCTAAATTACATTTATTTGACATCTCCATTAAACTACTCTTCAGAATGTCAATTCAAAGAAAATGTTTTCATTTCATTTGCTTTCGAAAAATACAAATAACTTTTCCTTCTCTTTCTTGCCTTTCGCTTCAGTAACAGTTAAAAGAAACCATCATGATGGGAACAGCCCACAATGCTTTATTATAAAAAAAGGTGGCAACCTGCTAACTTGATATCTGAACTTAAAATAGCAACATCAACAAGAATAACAGCTTTATATACACTTCAGTTATTTGTCCTTTATGCTCCTGCTGTTATGAAAAGTTTTCAAGCCAATTTATTAAAATGCACTAATTTTGATGAAAGTGTATCATATACTAAGAGAAATAAGTTTTTATATTTTCTTTATATAACTTATTTTGACAATTTTCCAATAATTTATATAAATTATTTTATTTGAGAACCAAAAGCCATAGAATGCATCATTTTCAATTTCTCTGCAAAAAAAATATCAGTCAAAATGATTTGACTCAAAATATGTATCATGATATATATTTATATTGATGTGTATCCAAATCTCTTTAATTATCTATTTCTTTGTTGCATTATCTTTTAAAAGCAATAAAATATCAATTCCTGCTTTCGTTCCCGTTACGATAACATCTTTCGAAGAAAAATGTTTGGCAAGTCATCTAATAAAAATATTTTCAAAATTTAAAACCACGGATGAGTGTGACAAATTCAGTTAGAGTTACGTCTCTCTCATTCTCTCTCTCTCTCTCTCTCTCTCTCTCTCTCTCTCAAAAATTAAGCATCTCAAGTTGATGAGAATTGTTACCATAAGTTCATCTTAAAAACTATTTTCAACTTCCTAATCAGTCAAAATATCCAGTTTAGTTGGTTTCAATTCTACATGAAGAGAAACACTAACTTTCACATACGAAGAATCCTGAAAAATCATGTTTTAGTTTTAAAAAATCTCTTTGATATGATTATGACATTTGTATTGAGATTCTCAGCAAGTATTAACATAACAGTTCTAACATCCCCAATGCACTTGCCAATAACCTGTTACCATTTTGCTTCAGGTGATCAATTGCTGTCCATGATTTTACCATGCCCTGCTTATAAAACTCGAATGAAAATAAAATTATTGCTTGCAAATATATGTTTACACAAAACTAGAAACTATGTGGCCAAGGAGGTAATTATTTAAAATTTAAGAATTATTGCATATTAGTAATTGATCATAAGGTTGAAAATGATCATTTGAAACCAGATCAATTAGCAGTTTTTCTTGTAACTGAATCTAAGTTGCATAACCATTTTTACTGTTTTTAGACAAAGACATTTTGTTCACATTAAAGTGGATTGTATTGGAAGTCAATGGAAATTATTTTTCTAAAAGAAATGCTACAGTTATTAGCGTTGATTTTGTATTAATCAAATGACGCACAAATAAAATAAATATTTAGATGTCATTTTTATTTTTTACTGAGATGTTATTAATGGTTATCAGTTGAATGAAAACATATTTAATAGAAATGATATGTCATGATGAAAATAAGTTGCTGATATTTCAAAAGAATTCTTATCGAAACCTAGAAAAGTTTAGATGGCACGACGGACGAAGAGTATACAAAAGTGCGAAGATAAGCGAAATATTACTTTTAGAGATTTATTCCCAATGCAACCCTATGTTTTCGCTTTCCTGGCGAGTGATTCGGAACAATGAGGTAGCCCTCAGAGGGTGCTGGGACGGATTTCCTCGACTGTCATCGGTGTGACCTTGGTCTGAGGAAACGGCTTTGCAGGCCTTCAAACATTGTCCTCAGGTGCGCCCGTTCTGGGATTATGTTGGCAACTTGACGGCGCGTATTAATCCCAAAATCTCCTGTCCACCGATCTTGCATACGTATGTGTCACTCCTGTTCTCTGGGGTGAAATGAATGACGTTTCTCACTTTGCTAGCCGTGGCAAGAATGGTGATATGGACGTCATGAATGGAGGAAATCTTGCGATACGGACGCTATTCCCATCGGATTCTTTCGGTATCAGCTCAAAATGAAGATTACAACTGATAGAAAGTATTTGCTATCGACAGATTTCAGTGAAAGGTGAGTAAAATGTGAGTAAAAGTGGTGAGCTTGCTGCAAATGAAAGACCAGCCTTGATTTTCTTTTTTAAGTCACCTTTGACGCAACTGGTCGGTTTCCTGTGAACTCTTCCCTGTTTAAGTTAGACACTCTTTGTTTACCTAATTAATGTGAGTAAATGTTGTCCCTGTCCTGTTCCCGGCTCTCTCTTTTGCTATGATCCATGTCCAGATTCCCAATCTCCCCAGTTTGTTTTTTATCCCCTTTTTCTTCTCGACCTGGTCAGCAATTGTTTTTTCCCACTTTGTCTTTTATTTTTTTTAACCTTCCCTATCAGTTAGTGAGCGGGCTTCTTGATTCTGTCTACAGGCAAAATACAACGGTTACTCTTATTATTTTTGTGGGGTGGTTGGGTCTTAGTAACATCTATTATGTTTAGTTTGAGCGTTTTGTTATACTTTAGTTTCGCTTCCTGTTTTCATATCCTTTCCTCTCATTTTATGAGCATATATTTTTATATATTAAAAGAAAACGGGAAAAAGAGACATTTGAACTATTTGTACATATTGAAATTTTATGTCATGAATTATTTTTGGTTCACTGTGAATTTGTGGTATAGTGGTACATGTAGTATTGAATGGTGAGGGACGAGTTTTTGTGGTGAATGAGCAAATTGTAATGAATGAATGGGTCGTGAATCAGATTAGCTAGGTCTAGGATAAAAAGTGTTGACCAGCCTTTCTCCATTTCCCTTTTGGCCTTGTGCCACAATTGTTTTAATTAAAGCAATAAATATATATTCCCAATGTACTAAATATATTCCAAACAAAATGTATTTCTCTTAATCTCGTGTAAAAGAGATCAATCGAGCAAATAAAGGGAGGTAAACTAAAATTAATCTCAATCACATTCTTATGTTTTTGTTCTCATCAATACTTTATGGTTTACGACCCACTTTGTCTTTGTTCCTCCATCCATTTAAGTAGGTCATTTACTCCTTGCCTATCTGAGTGCTTTCTTTCCTCATAATGTCCTAAAATAAATCTTCCATTTGCTATCATCAGTTTATTAAATTATTTATTTAAATACCTTAAATTATGGTGGCCTGATGATTGCGACGAGTATGAAACAGTCTGAGTGCTGATTTCAATGTTTACTTTTATATTTACATACGCTCTATCCCTGATATTGAGCACTTTATTCCATAAATATAGCACAACTTATAATTTATATTTCTTCATATATATAAATATATATATGTGTGTGTGTGTATTTATATTTATATATATATAAGCTCTTTGCCATTTTACTATTTTTGATAGTGAGTTTCTTTTCCATAGGTAAAAGTCCATCTTTATTACTCCTATAAACACTTCTAATTCAAGACTCTCAACATCAGTCAAACGAGATTTCGTTTAACGCTAAATGGTAACAGAAATCTTCCAGTCTGGTATTTCAAATGCCTCATTTCAAGACAGTGCGAAGATTAATGCAGCACAAATTTCTTGCATATCGATGATGTTACTTTTTTAAGTACTTATATTTTAATCCCTTGTAGTATAAATACAATTTGTTTCAAAGAAAATATTTTGCTTTTCCTGTTATAAAGTGTTTAAATGTATTATAAACTTTTTCTTATCAACAATAGACTCATGTAAAATTATTCATGCAAAACTTACAGTTTACCTTGATCCGGAACAAAAAATAGGAAAGTGATTGAGTTCTTAGTCCTTTGCTTTTGCAATTCACTTGAAAGAAATTG